AAACTGTTTTGCCAAAGTGGCACACCATTTTACAATCTCACCAAATCCTTGTTTTTAAGGCTCTGATTTTTGTACAAAAGCATTCAATCATTCTGTCAGACCAAAACAAAAAAAGTAAGCTATAGTTCAGAGCTGTTCTATTCCATTTACTATGCAAAGCCATTCTTGGCGTTTGCAACTCTTAGCCCTTTTGAGTATTCTTGTGGGCCAACATCTTCCACAAATATATATATTACACACACATACATATATATCTCATTCGGAGGGGGGGTCCCGAGGACTTTCTGTTGGTATTACATAGAGAAATACAAGAGCCACAGTTGTAAAAGGGTCTACTCCGTAATGCAGGGATGGCTACTGATTTGAGTATTTAACAGGGATTTGAGTATTTAACATAGGGAGGCAGACAGACACCTTGCCAAATCACAATGTTTCCCTGAGATGATTTTTCTCAACTCATTCTTCAAGTCTAATACAGTAAAACCCAAAGACAGTAGAATGATGCCGGACTCCATTTGCGTGGGATGTCCTTCCCTGGAGAAAGACATTGAGATCCTAAGATTCCTGGGTTAAAAACCGTTCCGAGGGCCGGGGAACGACTTAGTGGGGAAAGGGAAAGGGTTTGCCACCCAAACATGACGACCTGCGTTTGCTCTCCATCACCCACATAAACCAGCCTGGCAGCAGGTGCTGTGATCCAGGATATTGGGGAAATCATTAAGGCCACTCCACGTAGTTAAAAGGAAGATTTATTTAGTGGATGACTTACAAATGAAGGAATAGGTAGATTGCAGGGGTCTGGGGAAGGTGTATCGCAGTCCAGCGGTATTCTCTGGAGCTCTGCTCAGTCAGCCTCCACCGTCTAGGGTCCAGGAACCGAGCGAGAGCTGGCCCATCCAGGTCTCGGGTCTCCAGACGCCTCCCTTGGCCCCGCCTCGTAGGCATGACAGTTGCCAGAGTCTCAATGGGGGTTGGAACTTCCAGATCCAAGCTGGAATGGCTACCCACTACACCAGGAGATAGGCAGGGGAAGACAGGAGGCTCCCGGGGGTCCTGGACTCTCTGAGTTCAATGAGAGAGACTGACTCAAAAATATGGTGGAGAAGGATTAGGAATATGCACAGTGTTAACCTTTGATCTCTATATGCACTCCTACACAGGCACCTGTAGGCATGAGCGTACACACGCACACGCACACACACACACACACACACACACACACACACACACACACACACATTTCTAGCTGGATCATCATATATTTTGTAAATACCTTATAAATATATTTTCAGTGCTATCCATAAGGTTGCTATTCAGCCATGAGGCTCCAGTACCAACGTGGGTGTCCACTTAGCTGTTAAAACTCTCTTGTTTCTTCTTGCAGTGTCCTGGCAGGTTACAATGGTACCATCTTCGCGTATGGGCAGACAGGCAGTGGCAAGACGTTCACCATCACAGGTGGGGCCGAGCGCTACAGCGACAGAGGCATCATCCCAAGGACTCTGTCATATATTTTTGAGCAGTTGCAAAAGGTAAAGAAAACAAGTTCCCATTTTCTTTGATATATTCAGCAGAAGTACACCGTGGTGAGGAAGTGCTCGAGGCATCTATTACACTGAGCCCACTCGGGAATGTGGGGTTATAGAAAAGCTCTGGCTTTCCCATGTAAAGAAAGGTTCAGACTTTGCGGGAGGAATGGAAATTCAGAAGGTGCTTCTCATATGGGGCTGGGACTTCATCGAAGAGAGGCTGGGGCCCCATGGAGATGCCTACGGGACTTAGAGCTTTTGCGGTGGAGTGGGAGCTGGTGTGGTGAATGCTGTGTCGGGGTCTGTGGGTGTGCATGCGTGTGGGGTGGTACAGAAGTTGAGGCTGGAGGTCCTCTTGTGCTCTCCACTGATTTTGTTTTGTTTTTGCTTTTTGAGATAGGGTCTCTTGTTGACCCTGGGCTCACTGATTTGACTGGCTGATCAGTGGACCCTGGGGTTGTCCTTCTCTTCCCCCAGCCCAGCGTTAGGGTTACTGCCATACCCCACCACACCCAGCTCTTCACGTGGGTTCTGGGACCCGAACGCAGATCTGTATGCTGGCACAGCATGCTCTTCACCCACTGAGCCATCTCCCCGCTCAGATGACACCTTTGACCGACTAGTATCTTACTCTCTGCAGTCAGAAACCCTTCTACTAATACATATCTTCCTCTAGCCCCTAAATACCAAATCTATCAGTCGGCATGACTGCCATTTTCCCATGGTAATAATAGAAGCTGGAAGAATTTGCCAGAATATGAGCCCCACTGCAGTGAACATAGTCCTGTTCTAGAGTCATCCCCTGTCTCTACTGAATATGCCACCTACTTATGAATGTTTGCCTGTCTGTCTGTCTGTCCTATGCATATGCCTGCTACCCACGGAAGCCAGAAGAGTGTGTTAGATGCCCCAGAAACTAGAGTTAGCGTGGTTGTGAGAAACCACATGGGCGCTGAGAATTGAACCCAGGTCCTCTGTAAGTGCAACAAGTGTTCTAAATCACCGAGCTCTCTCTCTCGCCCCCCATGTGTGGCTTTTTAATACAACATATGTTGTACCTACCACACTAGGCATCTTTATTCCCATTTTATAGTTGGAAAAAGTGAGCCTCCATTGAGATACTTTTCTCTGTCCACATCTTACAATAACTGGCCCACACTCTGTAAGGCAAACGGCTTCTTTGCCTGCCTCCAGTGCCTTTGTAGCTCAGATTGGCTTGGTTTGGTTGGCTGTGTTTGAATCCATTTCCTGTGATGAGTCACTTAACTTCTGTGGGTTTCTGCTTTCCATTTTCTGAAAGCACGGGCTGAGCTGTTCTGGAAGCTCTCTGTCTCCCTCCCACCTCCAGCAAGTCCTTGACTTCTGCATAAATGTCTAACTGCGCTGCCGCTGCAACAGTCACTCTGGCTTTCCCTACTGAAGGTTATTTGCATTTTGAGTTGCAAAGACGAGAAGAAGTTGCTGAGATCTGCATAATTCTAATTGCCGTCCATAAAGCAGCAATTACCCATTAGTTCAGCTCTTCTCTCACTGGCCCAAGAGTGCCAACTGTGTGAGCCAGGGAAAGTGGGGGAGGAGGGGCTGAGGAGTGGGACTGCCACATCCAGAGCCTTCTCCTCACTTCCGCCTGTGTGCCTGACACTGCTCTTGTCCCTTCCCCACACATTTCACAAACGGCAGCTGTAATTTCCAATAGCCTTTGTTGCCGTGGACCAAAGTGGAAAGCTGTCCTCTTGGAAGGATGGGCAGGGTTGTGTAAGCTGTCAGGGTTCTGGGGATGTGTGCCACTGATGGCATGTGGCTTCATGTCTCAACGTCGTGGAGCTGCTGTGGGGAGGGGTGACGGTGGAGACGATGCTCCAGTTCAGAGTGTACCCTGCTCTTGCATAGAACTTGAGTTTTGTTTCAAGCACCCATACAGGCAGCTCACAACTGCCTAAAACCCTAGCTGCAGGAAATCCAGTGTCCTCTTTCAGCCTCTGCAGACACTACATTCTCATGCACATACCCACAGAGACAGACACGTAATTAAGAATAAAAACAAATCTTTATCATTATTGCATATCATTAATATTTGTATATGCAAATACTTAATGATTGTTTCCATACTCATTAATATTCATATATGTCCATGTAGCCTAATGATACCTGGCCAATTTCAGAAAACCTTTTGAAGCTCTCAGAACCAATGAAGCCAATTTCCCTGGTTAGGTTGAATAGAATAAACAAATCCTCTCCTAATTGGAAGTATGCTTTGTCTCTTCTAAAATATTCTTTGTGCTTACCAAAGAAGTCTAAAAGTCTCCAGGGCACTGACCATCTGTCGGTTGTTGGGAGACCCCTTTGCCATTGATGTCATGTAAACCTTGTTTAGTTTTGAATCATCCCAAGTAATTTCCCGGACTTGGAGAAAGCCCACCAGACCAACTGACAGCCAGGGAACCTGAAATGGGCCAGTTTCTGCTGTGGGCCACACACATTCGTTATAATCACAGTGGATTGTACTGAAACAAGCCGGATGACTTAAAGTGCTCCACGAAGTGTGTCCACACTGGAGACTAGAAAGCAGACTGGAGCCAGAGGCCCCTGCTGATTGCCCTGGATCAGAGAGCTCCGCGTGAGACTGAAGCCAAGTCCTTCTTCAAGAGGAACTAAGACCCCAGAGCACCCTGTGTTTTGAAAGGCCTGGGAGTGAGGACTTATTTCCACTGGACTTGGGAGGATTCCATTTGTTTCAGGCATCGCTTCTCCTTACATTGGAGCATTGTGAGGCTCAGATTTGTTTGGGGCAGAAGAAATGTCTGTCTGCAAGAAACACATGTGTTACATTACAGTCTGGCAACCCAGATGCTGAACAGGACCAAGAAAGGTAGCTCGCCACATCACTCAGTGAGATGGGAGTGTGTATGCCAGAAAAACTGCAGGAGAAGCAGAAGCTGGAGGAGCCAAGGCATTGTCCTTATCCCGGGCAGTGGGCTGGCCATTTCCCTGACTTCTTATCCTAATTCTAAAGAAGAGAACATCCCCATTACAGATGATGGCTCAAGTTCACTGCTCTTTTCTCGTGTCCATTTCTTTCATATTCTTGTATTATTTTAGCTACTTTGACCAGAGCTGTAACAAAATATCCAACAAAAGCAGCTTAAAGTAGGGTGTATTTTTGCCTTAGTGTTGGAGGATATAAGTCCACCGTGTGGGGAGGGCGTGGTGGTGGGAACCTGACCCAACTGGTCACATTGTGTCCACAGTCAGAAAGCAGAGTGATGAATGCACTTAGCACTCAGCCCCTTCCTGTCTTTCCCCACTTGCTCAGTTCAGGCCTCCAGCCCATGGGAAAGTGCCATCCATATCCAGGGAGGGCTTTCCTTCCCCAGTTACCCTTCTCCGGAAACCCATCACACTTATTTCCCCATTTGGAGGCTTCTAGACATAACACTTGAAAACACTTACCAACAGCAGTAACAACAGCGGCAGCCACGGTGGTTCCCTGGTGCCCAGGTATTTTTGGAAGGACTTGAAATGTAGACTTCTTCTCTTAGGTCAGTTTTTCAAGGTCAGGAGTATTTCTTAACTTATTATCAGTATGAAACCATGTTAGCACGACTGCTCTAGCAGAGGGTAGAGTTTTGTTCCCAGCACCCACACTGGGTGGCTCACAACTGCCTGTAACTCCAGCTGAAGGGAATCTGATGCCCGCTTCTAGCCTTTGTGGGTACCTGCACTCATGTGCACACACACACACACACACACAGTAAATAATTAAATCTTTTTTTAAAAGAATATAAAATCCTGAGTGGTAGGAAAGTAAAGGAAAATTAATTATGATCAAGAATGGAAACATTGGCTCCTGGTCTTTGAACCAAAGTAATAACCTCTGCTCTTTTATGAATAGACTGTTCACAGGATGTAAGTTTGTTTGTTTATTTGTTTTTAGTAACCTTTTTTGGGGGGTCTGGAAAGTAAAAAAACATGTATTATTCAGTTCTACAACCAGCTTGGCTCACTGCAAGTGTACATTGACATTTTATGTATAATGTGGAGCCAATAAAAACTAACAGACTGAAGTTACTTGTAATCATGGATATTGGGTATTACAAAAAAAAATAATAACCCACTTCACGCAGATGGCCACAGCAACTCAAAAGTGTCACAAACTGCAAATGTAAACCATATAATGTGGAAGGACAAAAGAGGGTTCTGTGAGGAAAGCCCGGAGACAAATGGCGCATCTCTCTAGCGAACAGTTGTTTTCAGCCGTTACATAAAGCCTTTTTCTTCTCCACCCAGGACAGCAGCAAGGTCTACACGACACACATTTCTTACTTGGAAATCTACAATGAATGTGGCTACGACCTGCTGGATCCGAGACATGAAGCCTCCAAACTGGAAGATCTGCCGTGAGTAGCCGGGTAACAGCAACCCACAGGAAATGGTTTTCAGATGTTTGTTTCTATTGTTCCCTTTGAAATTTGCTGGGTTTCTGGTCTCGATCATAATTAGCAAATATTGGATAGCTGCATCTTTCTGTAATGAGCGGGAATGGTGGGAACTAAGATTGCTTGAAACTCATTTCAAGGGGAAATCTCTGTCTCAGTGGACATTTCAAAATTGGGGGCAGCACTTTACCCCTCCATATGAAGCCACACACTCCTTTAAATATTCCCTTCTTCCAAAAACATTCAGTTTATGCAGCAGTAAGATAATCTGAGAGAAAAAGGAAAATCGGGAGTGTTCCCCAAATGCATCTCTGCTGTCATTAGCACCAACATTTATAACCCTTTGATCAGGCCAGCATTAGTCATTTTCAATGAAGTGCAGCACTCAGGTCTGTTGACAGAGGACATTCCCCTGCCAGGATCACAGTACTGATGTTTGTTTGAAAGCTGCCTGGGTTACATGTAGTAATTAGTAATTGTTCATGTGCTCATTTTCAGGTGCTTTTATGTATTGAAGGTTGCCTACAACCAAGAAAAAAGTGTCTTAAAGATTCATTTTATTTTTAAATATGTGTGTGTGTCTGTGTGTGTGTGTGTGCGCGCACATGTGTGCACATGCGCATGCACATGAGTGCAGATACCAGTGGAAGCCAGAAGAGAGTATCCAATCCCCTGGGGCTGGAGTTTCAAGTGGTTGTGAGCTGCCTAGAATGGGTGCTGGGAACTAAACTCAGGTCTTCTGCAATGCTTTAATTGTGCTCTTAATTGCTTAGCTATCTCTCCATCTCCCAAATATAAATCTTCATTATTATTATTATTATTATTATTATTATTATTATAAAATACTCTAAAATAAGTAGAAATAATTATACATTCTCTATGAATAAGATAACAATTGATTATTGAATATGCAAGTTTCATATTCAAAAAGCAAGTTATTAAATTAGTAAAAAATGTAAATAAATAATAAGGTAATTCATAATCAATATATTCTTTCATTAGTATTGATTGAGGTATTTCACATATCACCATTTTATGTTTACAAAATTCCCAAGATGGAGTCAGGAGACAGAACAATTATTTGTGTTCTAAATATTGGTATAACAGTGGAGAGAGATGACAGACTCTGGAAGAAAAAGCTTTGCAGACTTAGGGGAATAAAGTTTACTTTTAAAATTGTAAAGCTTCTTAGTGGGATAGGAATAGCAACCTTAGAGAGAGCACATGGGTGGAAAGGCTGTGCTGTGGACAGTGGGTGATGGCGTTAGGAGTCTGATGTGTGCAGGTCATTACGGTGCAGCCCTGCCCAACACAGTTGTCCTTATAAAAGAGGACATGGGTGCTGGCTTGTGCATTCTGTAGTGCTGAGGACTCCAAGAGAAGTGGGTAGCTTATAATCCAGAAGAGGGCCGAGCTGACTCCTTGGTGTGGGACGTCAAGCCTCTGACTCTGATAACCATTGCTGTTGCTTACACTCTGCCCCGTTTATTTCCGACCCCAGCAGCCCAGATACAGCGTTACAACATAACATCATCTGAAGGAAATCCCAGAAGCCACTGGCACCAGTCTAAGGAAGGGCATGAGTGTCAGGTTTCTGGTTTGAGGCTCCTTTTTGTTCTGATCAACTTTTTGTTTTATAGTCTCCAGGCTGACCTACATACCTGCAGATTAAATCTTGTTTAAATTGTTTTCAGTAGCTGGGCCTGGTGGCGCACATCTTTAATCCCAGCACTGGGAGGCAGAGCCAGGTGGATCTCTGTGAGTTGGAGGCCAGCCTGGTCTACACAGCGAGATCCAGGACAGCCAGGGCTACACAGAAAAACTTTGTCTTGATAAACAAACAAACAAACAAACAGAAAATCATTCTCAATATATTTAGAAGGCTGTTTGATACCATGTTCATGATGGTAATAGGTTCACCTATAGGGCCTGTGAACTCCCCAGCCCTGGGTTTGGGGCCAGGTTTACAGTGGGCCTCGAATCCAATTAGAAAGCAGCTGGTTACACCCATAATATTCATGCCACTATTACACTCATGAGGTTATCTTGCCAGACCAGTCATTATTGTGGCTAACAAGGTTCACAGCTGGATAGACTGTTGATGACTTTTCTCCCCCAGCAGCCTGCATAGCACCTTCCAGAGCTATAAAAGCTAGCCAGCAGGGAGAAATCTTCCAGATAAGTATCAGCTTGATTTCTCCAAGTCCTCTGGCTAGAGTATGTAACGTCTTCAGCAATGGAGTCTTACTATCAAGTTCTGCTGGGCAACCAAGAAGGATGGCAATAACGTGCATTGTTTGGGATCCTCTGGGACTCACTCCTTGACCAATAACTCACAGGGAGGTTAAAAAATTGTTTTCAATTAGGCTCATCAATACCTATCCGTTTGCAGATGGTTAAGCTATACTCTAGGAATGAAGGGCTTGTCTCTGATATACAGAGGAGAGAGAAAGCTGAGATGTTTGAAGAGGTGGAGGAAGACTATGAGATAAGGGATCCAGATGGTTTACACCTCAAACCTCAGGTTTGATTGGGTTAGAATTGAAAGGTGAACCACCAAAGGTTGGTATCTTCATTGTTGACCTGGGACATAAAACTCAGAGAGGTTTCATTCACCCGGCATTTCAGAACAATTAATTGTCAATGGAGCAACAGTTAACACCCAGACAGTCACACTTTCATGCCAGAGTGGCGGTGGGAGGGGGTTCACAGGTTTTTACACAGTGAGAATTAAGGAGTCCATTCAAAAGATCCCCAGAAGAGTTTTGCAGATGTGACTTTGGGTCTGCCATCCAACACTGTGTGTGTATACTTAAATAAGTCTGAGGTGGAGTGTATGTGGCAGGAAGTATGTCTCACTTGGCTTAGTAGTTTCCTAGTATCAGTGCCTTAATATTTCTTTCAAAAGTGGTCTGTGGGGCTGGGGAGGTGGCTCCATGGTCAAAGTGCTGCCGTGCAAGTGTGGGGAGCAGAGTTCAGGTCCTCAGAACCCCATAAATGCAGGTAGCTGTGGCCAGCCTGCAATTCCAGCCTCAGAAGGCAGAGACAGCATCTCCAGAGCAAGCCGCCTGGGAGACTAGCCATGTTGGTGAGCTCTGAGTTTGATGAGGGGACCCTGCCTCGGTGAATAAGGAGGAAGAGCAGTGAAGGATGCTTCCCGACATCCACATGCACATTCACACATGGCAAACACGCCTGTACACATATGCACGTGTGAACATGACAAAGAAGAAATCAACTGTGAAATCGCAGCTGAGAGGTTGAGACAGTGAGGGAGAAGAGGAATAGCAGACCATGTCCCTGTGAGTCCACTATACAGGGTAAGGCGCAGCCAGAATGAGAAAAGGGCTCCACTACCTAAGAGTGATACAGTGTGCGGGGTTCTTGAGTAGATACCAGGGTCTTCCCGATCCAGCCATGGCTAGAAACTTTAGACTTTACACAAATTTTTCTGTGTTTCTCTATGCAGTGCAGGCTTTGGGTCAAATACTGTTTACCAGCCTTCTAATGTCCAAAGTCTAAAGGTCAAGAACTGGTGACGTTCACAGTGTGGGCCTTGCCTGGTGACTTCTCCCCACTTTACCCAAGAATGGTGATTTGGATATTTTCTAATGTTCCCATCTGGAAAAGAACAAGGACAATGATTCCATTCTCCCTGTGTCCTCTGCCTCCCTGAGCATACATTCTCCATGTGTCCTCTGCCTCCCTGAGCATGCATTCTCCATGTGTCCTCTGCATCCCTGAGCATGCATTCTCAATGTGTCCTCTGCATCCCTGAGCATGCATGCATTCTCCCTGTGCCCTCTGCATCACTGAGCATGCATTCTCTGTGTTCTCTGCATCCCTGAGCATGCATTCTCCCTGTGCCCTCTGCGTCACTGAGCATGCTTGAGATTTAATAGTGACTGGTCAATGCTGGTCAGGTTGCTGCTAGAAATGTTATGGTCTTGAGAGACGGTCCTTTGGTGGCTTGATTTTTTATTACAGTGTGACACTGCTAATTCAGGTGAGAGGAAAACTCAGTGCGCATGCACATAGACACACTAAGATATGCACATATATAAACCAATAATAAAAAATTAAAATAAACATACACACATATTGCCACTACAAAAATGAATGAAATCTGTCATATACCTAAACATACAGTTCAAAAATAAAAATCTGGAGGATAACATGGAAGAAAAGCTATGCAAATCTGGGTTAGGCAATGAGTATTTAGATACAACACCAAAAGCATGATCCATGAAAAAAAAATACTGATAAGTTGAACTTCATTAAAATAATTTTTTGTTGTTCTGTGAAAACCTCTTTTAAAAGAATGGGTAAACGAGGCATGTGCTCAGAGAGATGACCGGAAACACCTATATATAGAGTTTGTATCCAGAGCTGGAGAGATGCTCAGTGCTGAGAACACCGACTGCTCTTCCAGAGGACCTGAGTTCAATTCCCAGCTCCCACGTGTCTGCTCACAACCATCAGTAAATCACGGGAATCTGGCATCTTCTGGTCTCCACAGGTGCTGCATGCATGTGTTATACATACATATGTGCAGGCGAAACACAAATACACATCAAATGATAAGCTCTAAAATGAATTTATGTGCAGAATATGCAGTAAAAGGCAGAAAGGACAAAGCAATGGATGGCTTCAACTTGGACAAAGATCTCCAGCCATGTCTCTAACGGCTAAATGCACAGATGAGAAGTTAGCAGATGCAGATGAGCTCAGCACCATCTGTAACTAAGAAGACAACAGTGAGGGCCACTGTGTGCCTGTGAGAACGGCCAACATCCCAGCGTCTGCCAATTCCAAAGGCTGGCGAGGCTGCAGAGCAGTGAAGGCTCTCACTGCTGGTGGTAATGCAGAATGGTGTGGTCACATCTGTGAGGCCAACTGGAAGCATCTTATCAAACCAAACACCCATCACACAACATGGCAATCGTGTGCCCAGATATTTA